CTTACATGTTAGCTCCCTCCCTGCCGCCACACATTTGTGAGGGAGTACATTTCAGGGTAACCAAAGAGTTGATGAGGGAAAGTTCTTTACAGAATTCCAGCTGATTAATGTACAAGACATAAACAAATTTCAATACAACAATTTTGTGACTCCTTATGGAAAAAATGACTAGGAAGCAATCATCAAAAGATAACAAAACAGTGATTCTCAGTCCTGCCTACACTTCAGAATCACTTGGGAACTTTTCAAAATATTTCTCTGCCTAGGCTCTACACCCAGAAATTAAGATTCAGTCCGTCAGGGGTGAAGCCCCCTGATAGGTTTTTTTTTTTTTTTTTTTTTAAAGTTCCTCAGGTGATCCTAATATGCATCCAGATTTAAGAATCAATGCTTTAAAACTATTAGGCAGATGGTTAATAGGGGATTTTCTAATAAGTGAATCAAGAAAGTAACACTGAATTCACTGATCAATCTTATGGTTACTAAAATTGGTGCTGTAGCGGTGGATCATGCCTATAATCCCAGCACTGTAGGTGGCCAAGGTGGGTGGATCTCTTGAGCCCAGGAGTTCAAGACCAGCCTGGGCAACATGGCAAAACCCTGTCTCTACAAAAACATAAAAATTAGCCAGGCATGGTGGTGCGTGCCTGTAGTCCCAGCTACTCAGGAGGCTGAGGTGGGAGAAAGATTTGAGCCCAGGAGGTTGATGCTGCAGTGAGCCATGATCATGCCACTGAACTCCAGCCTGGGCAACAGAGCAAGATTCTGTCTCAAAAAGGGAAGGGGGCTGATAAACATGTTCTAAAATTGACTGAGGTTATGGTTGCATAATTCTGTGAATATACTAAAAAGCATTAAATTGTACACTTTAAATAGATGAATTGTATTTCACTAAGGCTGTTTTTTTTTTAAATCAAGATAAATTTCTATCTCTATGCAAACATACACACAGAAGACTACAGTGTTTTATTTAAATCTTTTGATTTTATATTTCTCTTTTCCTTTGCACTGACAATCTTGGTTCCTAATAACTTTAATATGACTATTTGTTTTATCTGTACCTACATCTATATCTACACCTATCTAGCTATATAAATAAAAATAGTATCTAAATAGCAGTATCTATGACACCAAATTCAGGAGAAACAGTGTAAGATTTTTTTTGGTGTTTCTTTTTCTTAAGCTGTTTCCCACTTGGGAAATATAGTGAAATTGTTGTGTTATAAACACATTTTGAGAATTCTTGGGTGTTTAAGTCACTATTTTGATACACAGGTTTCATTTTAATTATTTTTTAAAGATCATCCTTTCCCCCCCATTTTTTCCCTGATTTTAAATTTTGTTTTATAATTGTGTAATTTAGTTACAAAGTATTTTCCGAGAAATCTAGCTTCTACCCCTCCCTCTTCCAAGTTGTTTCTCTTTTATTGATAACCATTTATTTTATAGTTTATTCCTCCATTTTAAAATAAGTTATAAGCAAATACATAAATGATAGCTTTGCATTATATACAGTTGATTCTGCCTTGTTTTTAACTTAATGTTGTATCCTGGAGATCACTGTATACAGAGTTTTTTGTTCTTTATCTGCATAGTACTCCATTACATGGGCTTCAACATCCAATATGTGGATGTGCTATAATTTCCTGACCTAGTCACTACAAATAGACATTTAGGTCATCTTCTGTATTTTGAAATTAGTAAAAACAGTGCTGTTATCTTTTCATATTTTTTGCCAGTATATCTTTAAGATTCTTCTTCTTTTTTTTTTTTTTTGCTTGAGATAGGGTCTTTCTCTGTCACCCAGACTGGAGTGCAGTGGTGTGATCACAGCTCACTGCAGCCTCAAACTCCTGGGCTCAAGCAATCCTCCTGCCTCAGCCTCCCAAATGGCTGGGACTACAGGCATGCCCCACCACACTTTTTTGTATTTTTTGTAGAGATGGGGTCTCACTATGTTGCCTAGGCTGGTCTCAAACTCCTGGCCTCAAGTGGTTCTTCCACTTCAGCCCTCCCAAAGGGTTGGGATTTACAGGTGTGACCCACTGGTCCTAAGATAATTTTCTAGAAGTAGGAAGGTCAAGTCAAAGGGTAAACTCATAGGTAATTTTCCTTGATATTGCTGAATTCCCTTCCATTAAGTTGTTTCATTTTGCATTTCTACAAGTAATGTATTAGAGTGTCTGTTTCTCTACAGCCCAATCAATAGAAAATGTTGCCAAACTTTTGGATTTTTGTCAATGTGATAAGAATAGTATCTCAATGTAGTTTTAATTTGAATTTCTCTTACTATCAATTAGATTGAGCATATTTTCATATGTTCAAGGACCATTTGCATTTTTTTCTCCTATCTTTAGCCCAATAAAGATAGAGTTGTTGGTCTTTTCTCTTTTAAGAGCTCTTTATTAGAGATAATAAAAGTTGCAATTTTTTTTCCCAATTTGTCTTTTACTTTGCTCAGCTTTTTCTCCCTCCAAAGTTTTTCTTTTAATTTATGTAATCATATTTATCGATCTTTTCCTTTATTGTTTTTAGATTTTGAGTCACAGTTAGGAAATATTTTTCCTATTTCCAGGATATGAAGGGACCACTCATGTTTTCTTCTATTATTTATATGGATTCATGTTTTCTTCTATTATTTATATGGATTCACTTCTTTGACTCATTTGAAATTTATCTTGATACATGAAGAATGGAATAATTTTTTACTTTTTTAAAATTTCATTTTAATTTTTGAGATAGGATCTTACTGTGTCACCCAGGTTGGGGTACAGTGGTGCAATCATAGCTCACTGTAACCTCAAACTCCTGGGCCCAAGCAGTCCTCTCACATCAGCCTCCTGAGTAGCTAGGAATGTGGGTGTATGCCACCACACTCAGATATTCTTTGAATTTTTTGTAGAGATGGGGTTTTGCTATGTTGCCCAGGCTGGTCTCGAACCCCTGGCCTCAACTGATCCTTTCGCCTTGGCCTCCCAAAACTGAAATTATAGGTGTGAACCACCATGTCCAGCCTTACCTTTATCTTATACTAATATCTGAGTAAGGCTTTCTTTGCTGGTTTTACAGTCTATGCATTATGTATTTATTTGTCCATTCAGTCAAGAAAAAATTTTATGTGTCATACTAAGGGTAGGAATTTTGCATTTCATTTTGGAAAACAAAAAGTTACATTTTTACAGAACAAAAATCATACTGTGACCTTCTGTACTATTAAGTATTTTGAAAGGCTTTCTGCACTTTTGCAACTATTGGCATAAACTGCATCCTCTTTCTAGTTGTGCCAGGTAACACAAAATTAAGCCAAAGATAACCAACTCCTGGATTAGATAAAGCCATTTGTTAATTAAAATTAATGTTAAAAAGCATAAATTAAGACTGAATAGGAGTCACAGAACAGGGTAAATGCTCAATATCTTTTTAATTAAAATTCAGTGTGATTCTGTGTCTAATTCTTGTTGCCTAGGAAAAATAAGAATCCCTAAGTCTCTGAGGTTCAACTCTGAAAGTACATTAGGAATATCACCTATTGATATTAATGTCATCAATTTTTTACTTAATTCTTTCTCATGCTGACATTTTGTGATAAATATATACTGGTATTTTCATGAAAAAAACTAACTGGCTAAGTCACTAGCACAATTAGAACTTAGCACCAGGTAGAAACTAATACCTAAAGGAAAATGTACAATATTGAAAATAATTTAGGTTAGACATTATTTTAATTCTCATCTGCTGTGTGCCAAGTTCTAAAGAAATTTTCAAAAAGAATAAAAATTCCTAGATGAGAAAAATAGAGCAGATTGTAAATGTCAGGTCTCCAGGACAGTAATGTCTCATTCTTTCACTTTAATGACTCCAGAATATAAGGATTCATTATTCAATAAATGGCTTCTGCTCTTATCTATAATAAAGAGAGCGAGGAAAGGAATAGATGACAACATCAATGGATAACCTATAATCTCATTTTGGATACTGGATCTCACCTTCACCTTAAGCAAACCTATTAATTTCAACCATATCACATGAACAAAAACATCTGAATTTCGGCATTTTAAATCTCCCTCTCTTTCAGGTAGTGAAGTTCATGAGCTGGGAAATAATCAGAAAGTAGCAGGATGAGAGATGGCAAAAGTCTTAGATGACATATTGGCTATCAAAAAACTTCATTTTAGACCTGAAGTTACAGCTGAGAATTTGTGACCTAAACAAACTCAGTTGGGTGTAGGTCTTCCGACTCTGAGTCCAGTGCTCTGTCCAATATACCAATTCTACTAGTCAGGTCAGATAAGAAAAATGTACAGCTGGAACATTATTACCTAACTGCATATAAACAAAATTCCACTGAAAAAAAATTCTATAAACATCACTTACAAGTAGATGACTAAAAAGATAATTCTACTATAGGATCTATGCTAAGTATGCCAAACATTTCAGAATCATAATTAATTTATACCATTTCAGATGGGAAAATTGAAGCTACGGTCAAATTTAGGTTAAAAAAAAAATCACTGAGTACCTACTATGGATCAGGTACTGTAGAATGAGAGGATAAATTACTAAAACAAAGTCAAAAATAAGTATTTTTAACCTTTGGGATAAAGCTTATTTAGACCATACTCCTTATTAAAGAAAGTTAAATCTCAGTAGTCTCCTATACAATTATTCAATATTTTTGATGAAAAGAAGACTTCAGAGAGTTTTCCAAAATATAATACAAACATGTGAATTCAAAAAATATTTATTCCAACATTTCTTAAATTACTGGGGACACTATTATAAGTAAAATAAATTGACAGATGCTAACTCCAGCTTTATGAATTCTCAATGCTAAGATCACCTTATTTCAATAATACAGCATTTATAATATTCTAAAGCACTTTTAGAGATAGAACCAAGATACCCAATTACTTGTTTGAAGTGAAAACTGTCCCAATCTATCCAGAGTTGATGTCTTCCCTAAGTTTGCAAGATTTCTCATAGAAAAAGGAGACACATACCTTTCCATAACAGCCAGGCACTCCTTTCTCCAAGTAAATCGACTCCCTCGTCGTAGTCGGAAAGTACCAGATGTGGCAGAGACTGGGGGAGGCGTTTGTCTCCATTCAGGGTCCTCTATTGGAATGGGGGCTGGTCTCATACTTAGTGTAGCGCCTGAAATAAATAAGACAGTTTTAGCAAATATCTTGCAATTAATTTAAACCAATATGACATCTACCTCCTATGGGACTAGGGAAGTATGGTCTTTGGCTTAGTGACAACTTAATCAATGTATCTTTCTCTGAAAAATTTCTTTTGAAATTCCTGCTTGATAGTTATAGTTTTTGAACAATATATCTCAGATGTTGAGAATCTTTCATTACCATTCAAATAAGTTACGAGGTTAGGAATTTATGCATGTAGGAGATAAACTTAAAATAATCCTAATTCTTGTAAACTCTTTTTTTTAAAGAGTGAAATACAGCATGAAAGAAAATAAGATGATATTTGATGTGCTTTTTGTCTACTAACTAAATCAGGTCTCTATAGGTCTAGATGCTATACTAGATTCTGTTACCTCTTGAACATAATAAAATTTCAATGAAAAATATCTATAATTGAGACATTTTACTAATTCAGATTACTCTTTTCTCAAATAGCTTGAACTGCCAATGATGCATTCATTATTCATTTACCATTTATCAAATCCTTTTCAAGTGGCTTGCTCCAGGCTAGAAGCTAAGAATACAACCAGGAAAGCAACATTGTCTCTGACCTCCATGAACTTATTTTATAGACTTCCAGTGTAACTTGGTATATGCTTTCATGGAGTTCAGTCCCTGGCTACCCCACTCTTCTTTCACTCCTTACACTGTTAAATTCATGTTCCCAAAACATAATTATGATCATATCGGTCTTCTAATCAAAAACCTTCAACAAGTTCTCTCTGCCTGTAGTTTAATTCAAACTCTTAATATAGGTCTAGAAAGACACATTAGAACCTGTAGTTTATGCAAATATCAATACATATATTAATTTTATGTTAATGAATATTAATAAATATTTCTTTCTTTCTAACAGAATTAATACTCTCTTTATTGTACCTTGCAAATAATACTACGGATAGCATTTCTACTTCAAGACTTACAGACCTGTTGTAGATCCCTTTCTTAATAGCTACATCTTTAGACGTATTCTCTTACACAGATGTCCAAAATATTAATCAATACTGATTTTGCTTTTCAAACCTACTGTCCTGCAGTCTTTCCCATCTCAGTAAATAGATACCTACTCTTCAAACTGCTCAGCTCAAAATTCTCAAATTAATCTTTCACTTCTCTAATTCTCCCACATACCACATAACTAATTCATAGGCAAGTTCATTTTATCAAAATATTTCCAGTATCAGATCAATTTTTATTTCTTGCACTGCTACTACTTTTAGAACACGTCAGCATCATCTCTCACAATCATGGTTTCCTGGGACAAGTTTCAAAGATGGCTCTTCACAGTAAGTCATACCTCTGGCTAATCATGCCCTTGAATCTGGGTCAGTCCTATGACAGGTTGTTGAGCAAGAAAACCTAAACAATTCAAGGCTACGTTATAAGATGCTTTGAAATTTCTGCCTAGGTCTCCTAAAATGCTGGCTCTGGGGGAAACCAGAGGGGCCATACAAGAAATCTGACTAACCTGAGACTATGATGTTGTAAGGAAGCCCAGGATAGCCACGTGGAGAGGCCACATGGAGTGAAAGATGCTCTGACAGTCCCCAGGGGCTTGTGCCAACTCCACCCAGGTGCCAGCATTTGAGAGAAAAAGCCATCTTGGACACTGCAGCCACAGCAAACGCCACATGGAGAAGTGCAGAAACCAGGTGACAGACAGAAACAAGGCCTCAGACATTCAGTCCCAGCACATGAAAGTAGACGTCAACCTCCAACGTCCCTAAGGATCCCTGCCTCCTGGTCTGCACACCTCTGTGTAGTCCCTTCCCACACTGCACCATGATTAGGCTGTGTGACCAACAGCATGTGGCAGTGATGGTATATCACTTCCAGGATCAGAATACAGAAGACACTGTGGCATCTGTCTTGGATGCTTTCTCTCTTATTCACTCAAGGGAAAACTACCTGCCATGTGTGAGGACACTCAGGCAGTGGACGGTGAGGCCCATGTTGTGAGAAACTGATGTCTCTGACCAACAAGCAGTGAGGACCTAGGACCTGTCCACGTCCACATGAGTGAACTTCCAAGTGGACCATCCAGTCTCAATGACTGCAGCCCAGGCTGACAGCTGAACGGCAACCTCTACAGAACTCTGAGCCAGAAACAACCAGTTAAGCCACTCCTGGATTCCTGATCTACGAAAACTATGAGATAATAAATGCTGATTGTGTTATGCTACTAAATTGTGGGTAATTTATTGTATAAGAATAGATAACTAATAAAAATTATCACAATCATCCCCAGTTGTTTATTTCCCTTTATCCCCCAATACACTATTATTAATTATTCAAATGTATAAATTTGGCAGCAAAAAATTTCCCTTTAATATAGAGGCTTCACTACTTATAAGAATGAGCATCTTTTCCTGTTTATTGACCATTTATATCTTTTCTTGTGAAGTCCTATCTGTTGTTCCTTTTAGAGGGGGTTATTCATTTGTTTTTTATAGTATGCTTTGTGATCCTAATTGTAATATAGTCAAATTTGTCAGTCTTTTATATTATGGCCAATGGGTTTGAATATCACTCAGGGTATTTTTATATCTTTCATTTTGTGTTTCAGGCCTTAGTATGTATGTGATTTCCTATAGCATGTGATGGAAAGTAAATATTTAACTACTTAACATTTCTGCTCAAACAAGTAAGCTTGTCATCATATAATGCTTTAGAGATTTACAGCCCACCCTGAAACAGAGTTGGCAAATTATACCCGCTGCCTATTTTTGTAAATAAAGTTTTACTGCAGCATGCTCATGCTCATTCATTTACAGACTGTCTATAGCTATGAATGCACTGGAGCAGAAGAGCTGAGTAGCTGTGATAGAGATCATATAACCTGCAAAACCTAAAATATTCACTGTGTGGCCCTTTATATGAAGAGTTTGCTGACCCCTGGTTTAAAAACATTTCTGCTCTACCCAACATGAAACTCTAAACCGAAACTCTTCTTTAAACAATTTAAAAGGGTTTCAGTCTGCCAAAATAAACTGAGAATTCAGTCTGGGCCTAATTGAAAGTTAACTAAGTTTAGACATAAGCAGGAATTTGGGGGCTGGAGGGTTTCACAGTCTTTTTTTTTTTTTTTTTGAGACGGAGTCTTGCTCTGTAGCCCGGGCTGGAGTACAGTGGCCGGATCTCAGCTCACTGCAAGCTCCGCCTCCCGGGTTTACGCCATTCTCCTGCCTCAGCCTCCGGAGTAGCTGGGACTACAGGCGCCCGCCACCTCGCCCGGCTAGTTTTTTGTATTTTTTTTTTAGTAGAGATGGGGTTTCACCGTGTTAGCCAGGATGGTCTCGATCTCCTGACCTCGTGATCCACCCGTCTCGGCCTCCCTAAGTGCTGGGATTACAGGCTTGAGCCACCGCGCCCGGCCGGGTTTCACAGTCTTTAGTGCTTTTCTGAAAACAAGCAGGGATTACAGCACAGCAAGAGCTCTGGAATCTACCTAATTAAAATTATATAAATTTTAATCTACAGCAAGGGTGAAAAGGACTAAAACACAGCCAACCGGTTATCATGGCTGATCAAGATAGAGGTAGAAATAGACTCAGTAAGGGAATACAACCTCTTGTCTAGGGGCTGACCCTGGTAAAGAAAGAAAGAGTTTCAGGATGAAGGGTGGGCAATAGGTCAGTGAATTCCAGGTAGTAGGCCACATCCATAATTGCGGCATGCTCCTCAGTAAGCAGAGTGATAAATGTGTACAAATAGAACAGAGAACAGAAAGAATCTTAACCAAGAGGTTGAAGGAAATAAGCCAATTAATAATAATGGTTCTTTCTTGGTATTGGGGTTTATTGTTAATATTATGCTTCTTTATAATATTCTGTATTGTCAAGAGCGTCTCAAGAACTGAAGGAAATTCAGATGAAATAAAACTGGGCAGGAAGGAAAAGGAAAAGGGGAGAGGAAAAAAGGAGAAAAAGAAGATAGAAAAGTAAGTAGTGGCCTGGTTATTTTGAAAGAAATCAAGGCTGGGTGCGGTGGCTTATGCCTGTAATCCCAGCACTTTGGGAGGTTGAGGCAGGTGGATCACCTGAGGTCAGGAATTCAAGACCAGCCTGACAACATGGTGAAACCCCGTCTGTACTAAAAATACAAAAATTAGCCAGGTGTGGTCGCGTACACCAGATACTCAGGAGGCTGAGGCAGGAGAATCACTTGAACCCGGGAGACAGAGGTTGCAGTGAACCGAGATCGTGCCACTGCACTCCAGCCTGGGTGACAGAGCGATACTCTGTCTCGAGGGGAAGAAGAATGAAATCAAGACAGTTTACACACAGAAGGTGAAAAATGAATAATCTTAAATTCATCAAAATGTTTAATTTAAAACATACTATTACATTACTTTTCAGATTTTTTTCTGGCTCCTTTTTCTTTTTCAATGTAGCGGTAGTTAAAAACAGCACAAAAAAGTACTCTGGAAACACTCTATTAATGAACAGATTTGTTCTGGAAACCTTAGTTCATCTTGTTTTGGTTGAAATGGATGAAAAGCAATGAAAAAATCCAAAAATGAGTTCAAAACTACGGACTCTAACAGAAAAACAGAAAGACACTAGAATGCAGGAACAATGTATACAAGCCTTTAAACTCCTCTGAAGTAAAATACAGGAGTTCTGGGTTAGCTAAGGTCCTAACAGGAAAAGTGTATTGTCTATTTCCTTACAGAAATGTTTTTTCCCCTCATCTAAGTTTTCATTAAAACAAAACTTTGCACCTTCACCTAGCAAATCGAAACCCATGAGGAAAACAAAAACAAAAACAAAAAACCTCTTTTCATAATTTGTTAAGAGATTTAAAAATTTTGTTAAGTGTTCTCTTTACATATATGATAGATAATGTTCTTGCTGATCAGGGTTAGCTCTGGGTGAGGGACTATAAGCACATCATTACTATGCCGTCCATAGGAACTAGCCTTTCCAAAATTTCACATCTCCCCCCATGTCACACACATGTTTCTCTGAGATCTAACACTCTGAAAGTGAAGGACTGGACATTTCTTCTGATGAGATTTATCTCATGTATTTGCTGCATAACCTTCTTGGCAAATTTTATTTAATTGTTTGGAAACATGCAGAATATGCGCCACATGCCAAGAGGAACTCAGCAAACCCTGTCTGCTATAGTAATGTTTAAATTAGACAAGGGAAAAAGAGTGTGAACTTAATTTGATCAAATAAAGGGACTTTTGATGTCAACCATGCTGAATTTAGCACTCACTTTAAAAAAAAAAATAGGTATTTTCTTGTAAGTGTTTTCACAAGAAACAAGATAAAATCTATCTGATTCGTTTACATCAGCCTATTTTATTAATATGCCTTGGCAGGCTTTCAGTTATGCTGGTAAATTCTGATAATGAGTCTGTTATCAGAGAACTACACTATATCAATTGGGTTATCAGTAAAATTAACCTAAATATCCATTCTTTTTCTTGCTGAGTCCACTTAAAGAGAAACTTACAAAAAACCAAAAGCCATATCCAACTGGATCCAGACTGAAAAGGTTGAAAAAAAGAAACTTCCACTGGGTGCGGTGGCTCACGCCTATAATCCCAGCACTTTGGGAAGTCCAGGTGGGTGGATCACAAGGTCAGGAGTTCAAGACCAGCCTGGCCGACATGGTGAAACCCCATCTCCACTAAAAACACAAAAATTATCTGGGCGTGATGGTGTGTGCCTGTAATCCCAGCTACTCCTGAGGCCGAAGCAGGAGAATTGCTTGAACACGAAAGGCAGAGGTTTCAGTGAGCTGAGATTGCGCTACTGCACTCCAGCCTGGCGGCAGAGCAAGACTGTCTAAACAACAACAACAAAACAAGAACTTCACTCAAAGTATACAAAGAGAAATGCTCTAACGCACGGGAATAGAGTCATAGAACATACAAACATTTTTGTTTTCTAAATGCTTAAATTTACAGAAGAAAAAAGAAAAAGTAGTTTTTCATTTTGTGACTTTTCTTAATTTTGCATTTTCTTCTCAGAATATATGTAAAGGGATCACATTATTTACACTTACCCTAATGAGCTATCTTTCCTAGACAGACAAAAAATTATGAAATAAAAGAATTACTTGATAAAAATCACAGACAACTTATTTTCTACTTGCTTCTCAAAAGCAGGTCTGGACTATATAAACCTAAGTTTTTCCTTCTCTTCTCTTCTCTTTTCTCTCTCTCTCTCTCTCTTTCTCTTTCTCTTACAAGGCAGACTGATTTCTTTTGGTCTCTCCCTCCTTCCTATTACACTTTATTTTTCAAATATGCAATACAAGTACATAGTACAAAATTTAGAAAGACACATTAGGCTGTGTAGTTAACACCTTACCCCTGTACTCCCAGTCACTCAGTTCCCCTCCACAGAGCTATTCTTCCCAGTTCCTAACACAGCTTTTCAGAGATCTTCTATGCTTAGGTAAGTATATACATGTGTATGTGTGTGTGTGTTCCCCTACATAAATATGCCCTTGATACTGTTAAGTACCTTTTTTTACTTATGAATTCCATATCACTTCATATAAATTTAATTCATATAAAGCTGCCTTCAAAAAGTAGTTATATAGCTCCATAAGATTCCATTGTTCAGATGTGCCATTAATTTATTTAACCAGTTCTCAATTGAGGGACATTTGGGTGGATTCTAATCAGGTCTGAAATGACTTGCAACAAAGGATCTGCTGTCCTATAAGCTAACATAATTTTAGTTCATCTTAACCAAACGTAATAGTAGCTCCAAATTCTTTAGCTAAAATCAAAGGTTATTTTACAGTCAACAAAACAAAATCATTTTTATCAAGAATTCTATGCCATATTTGCCTTTATAATAAAGGTGAAAATACAAAGAAAAAGATAAACAAATTTCAACTGCTAATACCCAATTGCTGTTAATGCAACAACAACTACCAACTGGCAATTATGAACTTACCCTCTTATCTCTGGCTGCCTTTAAATTACGTCCCACAGAAAAACTTGACAAGAAAACCAGTAGTTAGGATTTGATTTTTAAACAAAAAATAGAAAGTATTTCTTTTAAAAAGGTGACAATAATGCAACCTCACCAAAAACCAAATGCAGATAATTAAAGGAACGTCTTAAAAGGAGGCACTATGTCCTTAAAGAAATCAGCTCCTAATGATCAGATAGAGGAATGCTGTTAGTTTCAATTCCCTAGTTCTACCTTCCTCTAACTTCCCGATAATGAGTGGGCCCAGCTCTGGTTTCAAGATAAACTAAAATACGAAATAAGACTTTTAAAAGCTAAAATAAATAACAATAAAAAAATAAATAAAACCAGTTTTGGAAGAACACTATCAGCCCAGTGCTAAAGCTGGACTCCTGTAGTTAGTATCCAACAACTGGCTATCAGATCAGCTGCAACAATGCCACCGTGGCCCTGGAGCTGCACCTTAGTCCTCCCACCTGTTTCTAGTTCAGAGCTGGACTAGAGCCCAAACCCGAAACTCCAGTGAGGGAATTTGGCCTTACCAGTTGATTACCCCATTTTGCAATCCCCATTAGAATAACAGATTCAATCAAGAATCATCAATGAATGCTAAGGCCACTGGTGAAAGCTGCTGCAGGAAAGGATATTTATCCAGGGGCAAAATGTCACCCTAAAGATTATTCACAAACTGCAAAGAAAAGATCTGGTGGTTACCATTTTAACAAAACCATCAAACTTGGCATATGAATAGTGCTACAACCTTCTAATGCTGACAGGCCTTTTAATATGTGGCAATATTAGGTAAACACTACCTACAAAGTATTTTTCCCCAGTGTTTCATTGCAAAAATTTTCAAACATACAGTAGTGAAATAATTTTTTAAGTGAAAACCATACTCATACCACATATTTTACTTTATCACATACCTATCCATTTCCCCAAATATAAATCCATTTTATTTTCTGATGCATTTCAAAATAAATTGCTGCCATTAGTACGTGCCTCCCTAAATAATCTATGAAGTAATCTTGCCTAAAATATTCAACATGAATCCTAACTTCAGATTTTAATTCTAACTTCCAGTTTACAGAAATATAGAAGATAAAGAAATGAGATATTTGATAATAAAAGTAAACAGAAAAATCCAGCATGTGGGACATTCTGTCAAATTACATGGCTTAAGAAGTTCATGTCATTGAAAAAAAAAAAAAGTTTGGGTTACTAGATTTAAGAGACATCCTAATTTTCCAACCTAAAAGAGATACTAAAAAAAGAGCTACAAAAGACATTCTTCTAATGGCTAGAGAAATGTGACTCAGACTGGATATAAAATGATAATATGAAATTATTATTAATTTTCATAGGTATAATAATGAGGACTGTGGTAATACAGATTATCTTTATTCTTAGGAGATGAATGCTGAATACACACATACATAAATATTTATTTATTTTATAGGAATAAAGCAAATGCAAAATGTTAATAATTTTATATATATATATATATACACACACATATATATATATATATATTTTTTTTTTTTTTTTTGAGACAAGGTCTCCCTTTGTCACCCAGGCTGGAGTGCAGTGGCACCATCTCTGCTCACTGCAACCTCTGCCTCCCGAGTTCAAGCGATTTCCCTGCCTCAGCCTCCCAAGTAGCTGGGACTACAGGCATACGCCACCACACCTGGCTAATTTTTGTATTTTTAGTACAGACAGGGTTTCACGATGTTGGCCAGGCTGGTCTTGAACTTCTGGCCTCAAGTGATCTGCCCACCTGCCCGCTTCAGCCTCCCAAAGTGTTGGGATTACAGGCATGAGCCACCACACCTGGCCAAATGGTAATTATTATATCTATCTATTAATTACTATATCTAAGAAAGAGTAAACAGGTATCTACTGTGTTAGTCTTTTGAACTTTCTGTACATCTGAAACATTTCAAAATAAAAATTGGGGGTCAGAACAGATTTTTAATATTATTGTAGAGGTTGATATGGTCTCTTGTGTTTCACCCTGCCTGGACCATTCGGATTGAGAAACAGACCTTTGGGGAAAAAAATCTTATTATATACATGTCTATGACATTCTTTATTTCTACCTCAGAGCCAATGCTATTATTATGCACTATTTTGACTAGTGATTCAGTCTGTGTGCAAAAGCTTTAAGGCTGCAGCATTACAGAATACACAACCCACTCATAAATTTACACATGAGGGCAGGCTGACTGCCACTTGCCTGCGTAAAGTATAGATTGAGATAGTCCCATAACTTCAGATTTTACTTTATAAAATCACCTGTTAAAAGTATCTTGAATAGATCTTGCCTACTTCTTCCAACTCTAGACATACATTTTTTTGTCATCTTAGTTTTCTTAAGATTTCATTCTGCTTTCCAATCTACTGCTGCTCCTGGGAGTCATCAGGGCAGCTGCATCCTAAAGTCCAAAGACACATCCATTACCCAGGTCATTAGAATTAGAAAAAAAGAAATCATTAGCAGAGATCATTGGATATGGTACAGCATGAATTAAATAAAAATATTAAATTTACATTACTAATTCAAACAAGATTTGCCAAAAAAAAAAAAAAAAAAAAAAAAAAGATACGGAATCTTACATAGTTATGTAGTTGAAGAAAACAAAATCAGCCACTGAACATTCATGGCGTTCTTTCAAACTATGGCTAGAAATATCATATAACCTGAAAGCAAAGAGGTGTCTTAGGGGAAGAAGTGAATACAACTAGATAATATTAGACAATAAAATAAAATTTATTACAATCAGGGTTTAGCTTTTGCTGTTAAGAGTGTTTTTCTGCATAAAGCAACCATAGTAAAGTATGAAACTATCTTACTGAACAAGTTAGCACTTGGAGTCATTAAAGTAATTCATTATATCTGTCTTGTTTCAGATGCAATAAATAAAAGAAAATGCTATTTACCAGGGTTTGTCTTCTCAAGTTGATACCATCGGTAAAATGCTCTTTTCTTCTGTTCACTCAGATCTGATCCCTGCTGCAACAGCCAATGAGAGATCCGGCTCTGACTGATACCTATGTAGAAAGAGAAATAAGTTTTGGGGGGCACAGAAATTACAGTGAAATTAATAAAGGTTCCTTTGGTTCTAGGTTACTGGGTGCTTTATTCTCTGTGTCCAGTCCATAAGGAAGTTGCAACCTGAGCAAACTATTATTGGATTTTGTAATAAGACTGTAAAGACTGCGCTGGCTAGGATATACTCAGAAATTATCTCTTAGACGTCAAGGCAGTTTATTAATTAAGACCCGACAATGGCCTCTAAAATTAATCTCCAAAAAATGTCCATGAATCTGAGATAAAGATTCCTAAAGTAAAAGTTATTTGTCAGAGTTTATTATATTTGTGCTCCTTCAATTACCACTGCTCTCCATTCCACCCCTAATTTAGAATAATAAAACTTTTAACAGATATTGAGCAAAAAAGTCAAGTCAACAAGTTTTGTTACTCATTACAGATATTGACCAAAAGATTTAGGGGCTAGGAAACAAAAGGTCATTGAAAATACTGTCTTAGTAAGGTTTTTTTTTTGGCTTATTTGTTAATTCATTTAGCCATTTTTAGAGTCATTACCATTAGTACAGAGAAGAATTAGCAGACTTTTAGAGTTATGTATACTACAATATGACCTCTTAAGAAATCTCAAAAGACATTTTTCCAACACATGCTTTCCACAAAACTGAATAGAATATAAAGCAGTAGTTTTCTGCTATCTCCAAGAAGCTCCTGACAGCAATTACTTAGAAATGTAAAGAATCTCTACATCTGAAAGTAAAAAAGCATGCCTAAACCTTACTAGTATGAGAATCACATGTTCATTTGATCATTCATAGCTATTCCAAAAAGTGAGTAATTCAGTACAAACTGGCAAAAGCAAGTAACAATAGGAAAGACAAAACTGTCTTGTAAGTTCACAAGGCACTTTCCAAAAGACCATTCGGCTACCAGAGAAGGTTACCAATACCTAAAACCTCCCAAGGAATTACTGAGGGTAACCTAATATTACTAAATACCACCTGTGTTGACACCTGTTTAAAGATACACTGCCCAACAGGAAGAGCAGCTATCATGAAGCAATCATACCCTATAACATCAGAAAAAGCAGGAGGTCCCGAGGATCACATTTAACTCATTAAAAGCAAGCCCCTAGAGTTTCACACACTTAAAAACCTATGTCAAAAGAAAATTTGAGGAAATGGGAGAGGGGAGTGTTAAAAGAAAGACTGTGAAGCAAAGTTCTCCAACTGGAAACATCTTTCGTTTTTCTTTTTCTTTTCTGAGACAGGTTCTCACTCTGTCTCCCAGGCTGGAGTGCAGTGGCGCAATCATGGCTCACCACACCCCCTCACCTCGGGTTCCCAAAGTGCTAGGATTAAAGGCATGAGCCACTGTACCAGGCCCCACCACATCCAGCTAATTTCTTATTTTTTCTGTAGAGACGGGGTCTCACAATGTTGCCCAGCCTGCTCTCGAACCCCTGGGCTCAAGTGGTCCTCCTGCCTTGGCCTCCCAAAGTGCTGGGATTATAGGCACAAGCCACCATGCCCCTCCTGGAAAAATATTTCAATTTCAAAAGGCAAAATTCAAACAGCTTTCCAAAACCTAAGTGATTATATTCTCAAATAATTCACACAGCAGTTTTCCAGTAGACTAAAGATTTATGTGATGGGCGCACTGTATGCCTTTTCTAAGAAAATGCAAATTATTCTGGATAATTAATTCGGCTTTCACCAAAAGTCTACTTTCAGACATTATGGTATCTTTTAACACTACTTTTTTTTTTTTTCTTTTAAACAGAGTTTCACTCTGTTGACCAGGCTGGAGTGCAGTGGTGTGATCTCGGTTCACTGCAACCTCCACCTCCTAGGTTCAAGCAATTCTCCTGCCTCAGCCTCTCGAGTAGCTGAGACTTCAGGCATGTGCCACCATGCCCAGATAATTTTTGTATTTTTAGTAGAGATGGGGTTTCACTGTGTTGACTAGGCTGGTCTTGAACTCCTGATAGCCTCTCAAAGTGCCCAGATTATGGGCATGAGTCACCGCACCCAGCCTACACTGCTTTTCTAAAGGGTGAAGAAAACAACCATCATGAAATCAACATTGATTTTCATGTTAGCAAAATAAAATTATTTTACATGAATTTTTCATGTTGCTATCATACTACTCAAAACAGAAAACTTCAGAAAAATTGGTTAGGAAAAAATATATTATCAGCTCTGTTAATTGGTTCCAATATGAAATCTTCCTTAGTCAGATCATACATAGAACAAGCCTCAGAACTCGCTAGACAACAGTGCTGTCCAGGTTCTGACTTTGCTATAGTGAGAGAAGAGGACAAAATCTCATCAAACGGACGTTAGTTAAGTTAGAGTATATTATATAACAAAACACGTGAAGGTTTTAAAATTAACGCTTTTAAAAAGCCATAAAAAAACCCAGAAAACTACAACAAAAAAGCAGAACCAACCAAACAAAAAGCCATCAATACCAAGTGTTGGCAAGGTTATAGAGCATATAAGATTCTCACACTGCTGATGGAAGGGTAAAATGGCAGGGCCACTTTGGGAAATAGTTGGATGATAACTGCTAGAGCTGAACGTATACATACTCTATGACCTAGCAATTTTTTTCTTAGGCATATATCCCACAGAAATGTGCACCTGCTCAACAGAAGTATGTTCAGAAGAGACAAGAAGGCTCTTATAAACATTTCCATAATAGACCCCAATGTGAAACAACTAAATGCCCATCAAGAATAGAATGCATCAGCCAGGCGCAGTGGCTCACACCTGTAATCCCAGCACTTTGGGAGGCAGAGGCGGGTGGATTGTCTGAGGTCAGGAGTTCGAGAACAGCCTGACCAATATGGTGAAACCCCATCTCTACTAAAAATACAAAAATTAGCCAGGCATGGTGGTGTGTGCCTGTAGTCCCAGCTACTCAGGAGGTTAAGGCAGAACTGCTTGAACCCAGGAGGTGGAGGTTGTAGTGAGCCAAGATTGTGCCACTGCCCTCCAGCCTGGGTGACAGAATGCCACTCCGTCTCAAAAAAAAAAAAAAAAAAAAAAGAAAAAGAATGCATCAACTGTGATAGCTACACATTCTATTACAGGCTACTATACTAAATAGAAAAAGATAAACTACCGCTATATGAAACCACATGGATAAACATCACAAAAATAATGTTAACTGAAAAATCTTATAACACAGACACACATACACAAAAGCCATACATAACTATATATGATTCATTTTATATAAAGTTATAAAACAGACACGACTAATCTATAGGGATGGAAATCAGAATAGTAGTTACACACATGGGAGGGAGAAGGTTTCTGCCTGGGAGTTAGAATGAGGAAGGTTTATGTGGTGACCAGCATTTCTCTTTATCTCGATCTGGCGGGTGGTTATATGGGTGTCCTCACTTGACTTTTATGTGTCCATTAAGCTGGACAGTTTTCTGTGTATATATTTAAATTTAAAAAAGTCTCCCCAAAAATGTTTTTAAAATTCTATGTAGTTTCAAAAACATGAAGTAAATGGATATGTATCAATATGGAAAGAAGCCCATGAAATAAATGAAAAGGTATATATTTTTATGAATATACAATTTTATATATTCTAAATTTTGTCTGTATAGTAACAAAAGCTAATATATAACTAAAGATATACAATATGAATTTAAAGTGGCAGATTCTTCCTACATTTCTATCTCTATATTGTTTTCTTAATCTTTCTATAAATACGCATTAATTATTTTTGGCTTTTCACCCTAAATACTACATACAGAACTTTATTGGTTATTTTAACAACCAAATAGTTGCAAAGAATTTCTGTCTTCCCCCTCCAATTCTACTTTCTAAAGTAAGCAAGGTTAGCTATTTACACATATGTTGTTCCACAATTTTCTCTATATGTAATTACTACTTTAATAAAACAAAGGGAGAAGAGAAATACAGAATATTCTGTCTTTTGTGTGAGGAAGAAATAAACAAGAATTTCTTCCCTCTAAATTTAATCTCAGTATTCACATAATAAATGTAGAAAATAAGTAAAGCACGTAGTTTTTCCAAAAGAGGCACTGTAAAAAAAAAATAAAAGCATAAAAGGACACATTTTACAGTGATTTTTCTTAGCAGCCTGTTAACAGATGGGTAAGGCTCCACGAACTCATGCTTCGAGCTGCTTTGGTCCTTCAGCTGAGCACAGTCTCATAAGCCCTGGCAGTCTCTTGATACTATCAGCTTTGATACTTTTCCTCAGGAGAAAATTTCCCTAACTTTCCACCTACTTCCCACTGCAGAAGAAAATGTCATTGCCCACAAGTTTTAGTTCTTCAAAACCTCATCTTGTCTACTTCTGACAGGGCAGAGGAAAAGAAAACATTTACATATAACCTTCACACATTGAGAGACTAAAACTAACCCCTGATTAATTTCTTTCCAATAAGAAAGTTATCACATGGTAAAGGAAGAAAAGCCTTTCCAGCCTCATTCACATTATTTTCTGAGCAGCTGCATCAGGCTATGTGTTCCTCAAACACCACACTCCCTTCCACTAGAGGGCTCTCCACCATAATCCATTCTTGTCAGAATCTCCAGTATCACTAATTTATGTTTAATTTTCCTTCCACTTCCTGCGGAGTGACACTACTGACTACTACCATCATCTTCCTCCTTGGAATGCTGGATACAATTTCAACACCACATCTTTTCAGTCGACTTCAGGGCTGCTTTGCTAGCTTCTTACGTGTTAGTGGCCCTCAGGATTCCTTTGGTCATCTCAGTTACCAACAACATTGATTTAAAATGTGATCTAAATGCCAATGACCTCCAGGGTATCAGACCATTCTTTCAAACCATCTGCTAGATAGCGTCCATGAGATTTTCCCACAGGTCCTCAACATAGTCAACTTAACTCACTATCATCCTTAAATCTGTTCTTCCCGTGTTCTCCATCTCAATTTTACTGTTCACTCTACTTTCCCCCCACACTCTTACATATTTACTAAATA